CTAAATATTTAATCTATACTAATATTCTGTACTAAATATTTAATCTATACTAGTATTCTATACTAATATTCTGTACTAAATATTTAATCCATACTAGTGTTCTATACTAATATTCTGTACTAAATATTTAATCTATACTAGTGTTCTATACTAATATTCTGTACTAAATATTTAATCTATACTAGTATTATATACTAATATTCTGTACTAAATATTTAATCTATACTAATATTCTATACTATTAATATTACATACTAATATTCTTATTATTATTCTTATCATTATTCTTATTATATATAATAGAAATATTATAATATTCTTATTCTTATTATATATAATATTACAATATCCTTATTTTTATTATATATAAAAATATTCTGATATTCTTATTCTTATTATATGTAATAAAAATATTATACTAATATCATACTAATATTTTTATTATATACTAAAATTCCATACTATTAATATTATATACTATTATTATATATTAATATTAAATCCTAATACGCTAATATTTAATCCATATTAAATATTTATAATAAATATTTCGTAACTTTTATGTACATCTTCAATGTTTTCAGATTGGGTTCAAATTTTTACATTTTCCCTTATTACCAATGGTATTGATGAAATTTCAAAATGTTTTGGATGATACATGTATGTAAAAAGTTCTTCTCAGAATCAGGCAAAAATTTCATAAGTTCGTCTCATGATGCCGATAATGGTCATTGCGTGCAAAAGACATTGCTTAAATAAAAACTATTATAACTACATAGGCGGGGTCATCTAATTCTGCCGTTTTGAATTATCGTAAACCGCTTGTTGTATAAAAAGAATTCAATTCATATTTCAAAGAAACGAGAAGGCTATGTAGTAAATACCTTGAGTCATTTTTTTATTGAGTTTCGCTTATAGGTTTGCATCTATAAATGTAACAGAAAATTAATCAACACGTTACTCGATCCTTTTAAAACCACATTTTTGCCTGATCATCTTTTTCTTCATATAAGTTCGTCATTGAAACACGATTGACTTCTCACTCGAAGCTGAATCGAAGATAGTAAAATCCGTTGAAGAAGGCGAAGGAAATTAGCTTCCGACTGTAATCTGTCGAAACGTAAACGTTGATGCAGAATCCCCCCATCGAATCGAACAGCCCCGTGCAGAAGTTCGAATAAACGGTTCCTCCTTTGCAGTGCTCGGCAATTTATTGACGGAGAACGCGGTCCGCTAGGTTCCATTTTCCTTCGATAAGTAATGCAACGTTGTTATAAAGGACACTCATAACTTATTCCGACAAGTCCACTCGTAAAGACGGCGGGAAAGGGAAATACAAGATGTGGAAATAAATAAAGGAAGCCGATCTAACGTGCTTACCGGAGTAAGGTAACCGGTTTGAGATGGTTTAAAGGCAGGGTTCGACCGACAAGGGTCTGGGTTCAGGTGGTGTTGCAACCAATATCGTAAATCCAGATCGACTTGGAAAGAGGCTACCGCCTTTCTCACGTACTTCCCCTTAACAACCGTTGTGCCGTCTTCGTTTGCATCTGTGCAATATCTTCATAAAGTCGTCGATAGGATTATCAGGCCACGGATTCTCCATGAATTCTACGAACGAGTCGTGCAAAAATGTTGTTGCATCTTTCGATTCGAAACGTCGTGCTCGAACTTTGACCTCGGCGTGTGATCAAATGCTCTGGTAAGAATGCAGCTTTTCACATATTTGCCTGCACTTTCGCGTTTTGCCTCTTCATTCAAGTTCCTTCCGTTCCTTTATCGTATTGCGTAAATGCTACCGACAGATGCAGTGCAGGATTATGGAGAAAGAAACTAAATTTTACATTTATTAAAATCGAAAAGTATTTTTTTTATCATCGGTTAAGTGGTTACTCGTAGAAATATTTATCGCAGGATACGAATTATGTATCAATGAAATTTCATGATTATGGATATTCCAAAGAGATATCATCACCTATCATGATTAAAATGGCGAAGTATGTAGAAATTACAAAACGTTTGCTACAAGTAGCAAATTATAAATTTTATCACAGACAGTCACTATGACTCTTTTCGTATACGGTTTAATGCCACAGCTTATTTATTATTAACGTATTTACTTATTATGATGTATGGAGGATGTACATATGTTGAACGTAATCAATAAGCAGTGAATTTTCGCAGCTTTCGAAGCAGATCATAATTTAATCCAGGGAATGCAATAATTCTTTCATACAGCAGAATGATTTCAAACGTGTTACAATTAAAAATTATAAAATAAGCTACTAAATAATAAGCTTCAATTTTAAATACAATTTTTAGGCAGAATTTAAGCTACAATCATCTTATCATTTTTACTGATTTTATCTTTAACTTGTTCCCCATCGTGATAGATAAGTAATAGTAAATAAGATTATATCTGATACTGTGTCGTATATGGAAATAGTTACTATAACAATTTGTCTGAAATCTAGTACTACCAATCGTTAATTAGATGTGTGAGTTTCAAATGCATTTTCCTCCAACTTTTTCACCGTCCTTGATTTTCATCTTATTTTCGGCTACAGAATCTTATTAAACGAAAAAGAATCTCCCTAACTCCATTTGTACCATAATTTACGACTCATCTTTTGTCGAAAATTAATATATAACATGAATGATAATCTAGAAAAATGTACGATGATTTTTGTCAAAAATAATTATGTTGAAGTTTATTATATCGATATCTTTCAATATCATTTCTTTTATTTTCACGGATTTTTATGAAATTAAAATTGAATTTTTTTGAGCATTTACAAAAACGAGTTCTCTAATAATTTGTATAAAGAATGTGTATAATAAAAAAATGTGTATATAATAAATGTCAAGAAAAAAATATCGATGACCTTGAACTGTCATAAAAGAGTTTCTTAATCAAACTTTTAATCCTTATCAAATTTTGAGAACACAACGGAATTAGAACAGTCAGAAACGATACTCGTAATATGATGAAATAAAAGATGATGGATTTATTGAAAGATAAAAGATGATTGATTTATTGTAGAATGGAAATCGATACAGTACAAAAACCCTGAGTTAAACAAAGTTTCCAGTTTCTCAGAAATTTAAATTATGCAATAATATAGTGAGTATTTTTGTTAGAAACATTTGAAACGTATTGAAACAGAATTAAAGATACTTTTTTTTTGTTCTGTTAAAAAGAGACGAACAGATAGGAAAGTGTCGTTTTTGTTGTGAACCTTTCAATTTAGAAGCCAAGCTATACCGAATAGAAGAAATAGAAATGAACGCGACATTCACTATTGCACAATGACTATTGACTGACAGTGATTTCACTGTATTGTTACGAAATGGGCTGTTCCACTGATGGTTAATCTATGGCATTTTGTTAAGAAAATAGGTCGTGGATACAATGCGCTTTTTCTAATTTATTTTGTAATATTAAGTTAGCAAAGCACCTTTGCAAAAAGAATTTTCAACTAATACATATGTTTAAAAAAAAATGTATAGAAAATATTTTTAGAATTGTGTATTGTAATAGACTTATTTTTTTATTAGTATTATTATTCCTTTCTCAATATTCTTGTCTATATGTGATTACAATTTTAATAATTATATCGTTGAGTGTGTATTCGAATAATTAATTATTCTGGGGACTTTTATAATTCAGGAGTAATTAATCATTAATTATACAATTCAGTAATTATAATCTATAATCTATAATTCAGTAATTATAATAATAAGTAATTATACAATTCATTTATATGTATATGTATAATTATGTAGTATTTACAATAAATTGATTTATCATACTGGTTCTTACAGTTATCCATAAAATGCTTTGTTCCTTTCGAAGAATTAAATGTTATTAACGCATCATTGTGATTCTACGTGCAAAAATGAATCGGAAAGAGAGGATGAAATTTTCCAAGTTTCGTTTCGAAGAAAATTAAATTTATTAAATATACTTAAATTTTAACTTAATTTTGGACTTGTTCAGAAACGAATAAATATGAATCGAGCCAAAACTGTCTCACAGTCGAAAGTTACAATTGTTACAATTGTTTCACGTTCCAAGAGAATTTATTAGAAGCTACTTAATTGCTAACAATGAGTCGATGATTTTCAACTAAACATATTCTTTAAAATCTGTCAAAAGACGTAATCTTGAAACAGAAATATTTCGTTCTACATTTTTCATTTATTTTCGTTAGGCGAAACAACGCTTTGCCAATTATTCGTATACTCCAGAATTATCACAAGTATTAAATTAAATTTTTAAACTTCGATCAGAAACGAAACTTTAAACAAAAAAAAGTTTATTTAGCGACGAAGTAATGGAC